TCTTAAAGCTCTTACAACAATCCATACATCAAACGTATCAAGCACATTAGTACATATGTTGCCATCATCATTTCCAAAACATTTTCTTTCTACATGAGCCCTTGGTATCAGCTCCTATTTTTTCCTCTCCCCCTACCCTCCCACCCTTGATAATTTATAAATTATTTTTATTATATCTTTTTGTTTAAATTTAATACTTTTATTGGAGGCTCTTACAGCTCTTATCAAAATGCATACATTCATCCATTGTGTCAAGTACATTTGTACATATGTTGCCACCGTCGCTTTTAAAGCATTTTCTTTCTACTTGAGCCCATGATATCAGCTCCTCATTTTTAAAATTTTCATATCTTATACCATCTGCTTTCTCCCTTCACCCATGTTTTTGTTGTCCTCCCCCAGCCCCCGTGCCTCGGGGTGGGGGGGTACATCAATCATGGCTATCGGTTCCCCCCTTTCCCCCCTTGTCTCCCCACCTTTCCTCTACCTTCATGGTATCACTATTCCCTTTATTGTTCCTGGGGGGTTATCTGTCCTGGATTCCATGTTTTGAGAGTTCTTTTTGTTTTGTTTTGTTTTTTAATTATTTTTGTTTGTTTTTTAATTATTTTTGTTTGTTTTTTAATTATTTTGTTGGGGGCTCGTACAATTCTTATCACAATCCATACATATATCCATTATGTCAAGCACACATGTACATTTGTTGCCCTCATCATTCCCAAAATATTTGCCCTCTACTTCAGCCCTTAATATCAGTTGCTCATTTTCCCTCCCTTTCCCTCATGGACCCTTCATAATTCACAAATCATTGTTTTGTCATAAGTTACACCGTCCGACGTCTCCCCATACCCTCTTCTCTGCTGTCCATCCCCCAGGGAGGAGGTAATACGTAGATTCTTGTAACCGGTTCCTCCTTTCTATCCCACATTCCCTTCACCCTTCAGGCATCGCCCCTCTTTCCACTGGTCCTGAAGGAGTCATCTGTCCTGGATTTCCTATGTTTCGTTGCTATCTGTACCAGTGTACATCCTCTGGTCTAGCCAGATTTGTAAGGTAGCATTGGGATCATGATAGTAGGGGGGGAGGAAGCATTTAAGAACTAGAGGAAAGTTATATGTTTCATCGTTGCTACCCTGCACCCTGATTGGCTCATCTCCTCCCCACAACCCTTCAGTAAGGGGGTGTCCAGTTGCCTACCAATGGGCTATGAGTCTCCACTCTGC